TATTGAAAGCAATGCAATCTATGGTATGTAGATCATTTTTGTTTGACCCACTGGAATTTCCATCTGAAGCCATGGCAAACAAAATTACAACAGAGGAGTCCCCAAAGAAACATGTATCAAGAAAAGGTGGACTTTTTCCTGATCGAGTGTCAGATCTGAAAATTGAAGTTGTCCAGAGAATGCTTGATATTTGTACTGCGGACCTTAATTTCTCAGTGGATGAAAAGCATCGTACTTACCTTCATTATTGTGCGAGCTCTCGTTTAGCAGATAAACAAACACTTGCCATCTGCAAACGCCTTGTTGAACTTGGTGTTGATGTTGATCAAAAAGATAAAGATGGGCTCACCTGCATCGATATGGCATTTAAATTCTATGAAAAGAAATTTGACACTCTTGTTTTCTTAATGGAAAAAAGTACACATTTACAGGATTTGGACATAGATAAATTATTGGAACATTTGGCAGATAATGCTAATTTATATGAGAAATTGGTTCAGTATCTGATAGAAAACATATTTGAATTAAATAAGCCAAAGCGAAACTTGTTTCATTATTTGGCTTCAATTGGTTATTATGCCAAAGACCAACCAAAAGTGGAGCGCGAAGCAGTGTTTGATAAACTTCAAGAAAACTTCCCAGCAAATGAAAAAAATAAAGACGGGCAAATTCCGTTGCATACTGCAATTGAAAGTAATACAAGTGTGTCCTGTATTCGAAGCTTTGTGCGGATAAGTATATCGTATCTTGACGAGCGGGACTTTGAGGGAAACACAGCTTTACACTTGGTTTTGAAGTCGGACAGAGAGGATGTTGACGTACTTACAATAGTGAAAAAGATGCTTAAGTTTAAAGTTGATATCAATGCTCAAAACGACTTGGGTAGAACACCTCTAATGATAGCTGTAAGATGCGACAAGGATAGGACAAGTACAATAAAAGAACTTCTCAATCACAAAGAACGACCAGATTTGTTATTGCGTGACCGTGCCGAATTTTCAATTCTTCATCATTGCATAGACACGCCAAAGGATGATTTCACTGCCCATTGTATTCTGTCTATTTTTCTAGATTCAGGTCTGTCACTTCCAATAAAAACAAAAACACTTAAAGGATTAACTGCCCTTAATTATGCCGCAAAATATGTCCATTTTAGTCGCATATTGTGTATAATAAAGATGCTTCAGACCAAAGGCTGCTCAACTGAAGCTGTTGATAAAAAGGGACAATCGCCTCTCTATAATTCAGCGACTAATCTCAAAGGAGTAAATCCTTTAATTGTTCTAGAAAGATTACTGCGTGCATACATTTTTTTGATTCATGGAGATTCGGATATGAAAACAAACAACGGAGACAGTGTGTCTTCTGTGTGTGAAAAATTCGATTACATATCTCTTCAGGATCTTTTAGACATTGACATCATGGATTCTGATAAAGCATACGATATAATAAAACGAGCCTGGATTACTGTTTCAAGTGGACAGTTTCCTAAGAACAACTATGAACATATTTTCAAATTCAAAGATGAAAAAATAAAGTCATTGATTTTGGATTCACTGCCATATTTGTCCCATCGTATGTTAGACAATTTAAAAAATGAGGAACCGTTAGTGGATGATACCTGTCTCTCAAGTGTACCTGACCTTGAACATGCCCTGTCTCAGCAATAATGGTGTGACTTAATGGACATCTTCAGAATAACTTGCGTTGATCTGGATAAAATTATGTACACTGTATGAGACAACATAAGAAAAGGAACTGCAATATTGACGTTGAATTAACCAAAAAAAATCTTTCTTTTACATTTTGTTAATTTTTTGAATTTTTTTTTTTTTTTTTTTTTTTTTTTTTTTTTTTTTTTGAAAGGCAGCCATTTAATGTTGTTGATGAAATCATTACTTTTATGATATATATTTTTTTTCATGTTTATTGTGGATATCTGAATTTAATCGCTCATGTTATTAAGTGTAACTGTCAGTCACTGCCAATACGTAATGAAATAGTCTATGAAATACCTCCTATGGATTGCTGAAATATAAGTCATTTTTATATTAAAGAAAATGTTTTGGATACGACCACAATGACAACTAACCATATTTTCTATGTCTACATTCAAACATGAATAGGAATACATAGCAGGGAACCATACTAGAAGTACATTTCCGTAATATGAAGCAAGCTTTACTGAAAGTAAAACTGCAGAAACTCGTTTCCCTCAATCACACTTTATATGTGAAACCTTGCACTTTTTTGTCAAATGATCTGACATTAAGTGTAAAAATACAATTGAATGTAGATATGATAACTTATCTTGATTATTTACCGGGTATTCTATTTTATGTTCACTTGATGAATCTTTGACTTATATATGATGATCCTTGAAGTAAAATAGTTGATAACAGTTGCAGCAAAGAAAACTTTAAAATGCAAAGAATTAAAAGAAAATGAAGGTACCGATGTGTGAAGATTATTATAATGAAAATAAATTGCACATTTTTAAAAGGAAGCTTTTTGAAACTACGAGTATTTTAATGGTGAAACATTTCCTTACAACATAAGAGGTTCTGTGTCCACAGACGTCAGTCGGCACACAACCCTCAACATGGAAATGGATGCAGCGAAGAAAATCTTGCTCAGAATTTAAACAGACTGCCAATTACACCGTCTTTTGTGGTGTGTATTTTTATCTATCTTTGTAAATAGGCCTACTCAGATTTCAACCCTGTGTCCAGGATAAAATGTGTACGAGGGTCTTTCCTCCCTATTAATTTTAGCTGCATATATGTTGCTAACAAATAATATACGTATACAATGTATGTACTTCATTAACTTGTTGTTTGTAAACTTTGTTTAAAATGACTTAAATAAAATAATACCTCTGACTATTGTTTGTTGATTTATATAAAATGCACAGGAAGAAAACAACATAAAAATGTTTAAAAAGATTTATTATTTTAAAGGAGTGTAGTAAAATTAACAATTACATAAAACTGTTTAAAAAGATATATCATTTGAAAGGAGTGTAGTAGTTTTGATGACAACTTATTCTTACTAAGAACTGATATGAACACATACATGATGGTAGTACAGAAAACAAAAGACCCATGGGCCACAGTGCTCATCTTGGTCACTGTGGTTCAGCTTTCTTCATCAGCTGTTTTTGTTTTCCTATATATACTTATGTGAACTCAGATTATCCATTTTGGCCCCTACCTACCCCTGGGGTCATGATTTGAACCGCGAATCTTCACTACCTGATGATGCTACCATATCAATAAGAATGAGCATGTCTTTGCTGTTCTTGAGATTTTTTCCCTTAAATATTCCTATGTAAGACCTTGATCGTTCATGTTAGCCCCTCCCTACCCCGGGGGTCATGATTTGAACAAATTTTAATCTACACTAATTGAGGTTGCTTCCATATCGATTTGACTACTAGTAATCATGCCTGTGCTGTTCTTGAGAAGAAGATTTTGAAAGATTTTTCCCTTTATATTCCTACGTGAAATTTTGATCTCCCATTGTGGCCCCACCATACCTCCACATTGTGTAATGAACCTTTCACATAAGTTTCAACTCTTCTGGCCCAGTACTTCTTGAGAATATTTTGAAAGATGTTACCAAATTATTACAAATTCTTAATTATCCCCCATTTAAAGAAGACCTGGCCCTTCATTTCAATAAATTTGAATCCCCTTCTCCCAAGGATGCTTTATTGCAAATTCAGTTCAAATTGGCCCAGTTGTTCCTGAGAAAAAGTCAAAAATGAGAGGCTTACAGACAGGCTACAGACAAAATGTGACCAGAAAAGCTCACTTGAGCTTTCTGCTCAGGTGAGCTTAAAAGCTAACATATTTCACATCTGTTTAAAATTATGTGTATAAAAAATAAAGGATTTTGATAATTTTGCTTCTAAATCAATTGCATCAAGATCATTTGTTTAACACTTTTCACAGCTTACTTTGAACTGATATACAAAGAAAAGGTTTGATTATGAATAAAATGGAAAGTACATTGTATACATATAAATAAAAAATAGCAATTAACAACAAAGAACTACAATGAATTATATAGCTCCAAAACAGAAAAAATTAAAAAAAAAAAATAGTATTATTTCTTTTATCAAAGTAACTACTCACTAATTGAACCTCCAGAATGCATCCTTATTGTATGAATATTTAAAAGAATTGTTATTTTGAAAAGAAGAGTCTTGCATCATTCGATGCTTAACATAAGAATGACATCACTCAACATAAGGAATGTAAAACATATAAACTTATATTCATGTTTATTAACTAATATGGTACACATAAATACATGTATAAAAACGCATAATGAAAATAAATGTTTAAAATTTTAAAATATGCAAGAAAAAAATTGCATTATTTGGAAGAAAAAATCAGATGTAAATATGCAAATCACAAACAGTGCAATTTTTTTTTAATTTATGATATCAAAAGTCAAATTGTGTATAATGCACTAGAAAACAAGTATGAATGGAATCTTCATATAGGGAGGTGATGTGATATTGCATGGAATGACAAACACAGAGATAAGTCTAGATGACAATAATATTAAATGGATATGCACAACCTTTCGCACATTTTACAAGTACAGCTAAACTTTGGTATCTAGAACATGGCTATTTCAAATACAATGGCTCAAATACCATGGATATGTTGAAGTGTGTTGGAGGTCCAAGCATTTTTTCTTGGAGTATTTTACCCTCAACATTTTGAATCTTTGGATATTTTGAAGTTTTTTTTTTAATTGGTCCCATCGAGTTCAAGATAATAAGGCTTTACAGTATATCTCACAACCATAAAATAGCAAAATTTTCTTATTATTATAATAATAAAATTCACAACAAGAAAATCATAAAAAAAAACATTTGAACAATTGGAATGAATTTCAATATATATATATATATATATATATATATATATATATATATATATATATATATATACACAAAATATATCAAAATGATATGTGTAATGAAGTCATGATATGTATATTCCAATCCATAAAATGGCACAGCCTTGTAGAAAAACAGTTCCTTTCTAAAAGATGAAGTTTTTCTCAGATTTTGTATAAAAACTTCACTAATAAAAGGCTAAAAATCACAACTATTGGACTGTACATCACATGATTGCCTGAATTGCACTTGTTTCCCTTGCAGAAGCAGTAGTTTACGGCTCGCTGATAGGTGGTGATAAATTTTTTACAACCAATGTAGTCTGTGACTGGCTGCAAATCTGAAAAGAGATACCAAAATCCCTAAAAATACTGTTTAACAGTCACACTTTACAAGATTACATTAATTTTATACAAGTCTGATACAAGTCTGATAATACAATACATTACACTGAACATTATTGGTACTATATTTTTCAGATTGGTTTTTCATTTTCTCCTCTGTTCTTTGCATTATTAATATGTAATATTTCAAAAATATACCCCCTTATTCTTTATCATTCACATCTTTCTTATCTTATTTTGCAATTTTTTGTGTCATGGCTATACAGTGAATTTCTCTTACACAAAAAGGTCACTCAGACAAAAGATAAACCACTCAATGAAATGATAATAACCTGTTCCTAAGCTTTGTAGCACTCTGTAATACTCAATCTGGGAGTAACACTTTCTTCTGGCAACTTGGTATTCTGCAAAATAAAATGAACAATTACTGAAAAAAAAACATTTCAATTCTATTTTAATGACTATGCAGATAATGAAGTTTGCATTTATAATACCAAAATTTATAATAAAAGAAGTTAACTATGAAGCACCTTATTTTCTATTATTTTCCTTTGATTTTTAATGCAGAAGTACACATAAATTATAAAATCATCATCAGAGAATGAAATGTTACACAACATTTTTAAAGCTATGTACATGTAGGAATGAAAATGTCAACCACCACATGTGTTTTTTGCTGCAATCTCCAAATTTATTATAACAAATTCAAAATATTTGTCAACCAGTGCATGTGTTTTTTTGCCTGCAAAGTCCAAATGTATCATAACAAATTCAAAATATTTAGGTTTACTTTTAACGTGACATGGGGAATGGGGACATAACTCTTACATTCATAAAATTGCCTCATTTTTGTAACTGACTAACATATGTTTCTGCATCTCATTCAATTACCAGAATCAAAGATATTATCTCTCATATATGTGACCACCTGGTCTTCAAGTCTTGAAAAAGCAGTTAAATGACCCAACTCATTCTGAATTCAGATAAATCTGCCCTGAAGGCAATAATTTATTGTTTATATACACATGTACAAATGAATCCCCTTCTGGAATACCCATTAAAACCTACCATCGTCCCACTCCTTGGAGCAGACATGACATCCTGTCTCCGTACCCACACCAGAGTCCTCAGGTTTAAATGGTTCTACGTTACAGTAACTACAGGAGTAGCAGGTCAGACCATTCGTTTCCTTGTCGTAATCGTTCCCACTGCCCGGACCCTGTCCCCCAGGGATCACAATCTGTTCATCCCAGTTATTCTGGAACTCGTTGAACGAGCCATCACTCCAACCTTTGAAGGGAATTTATAAAATGGAGTATTTCTTCAAACGATCTTTCTCTAATTTGATAGTAGAATTTATCTTTCTCGAAAGATTCTAAGCAGTTTTAGCATTATTTTTCCTTAAAGATTGGCCTATTCCAATTTTTCTTGTCTTTTCTTGCAAGAGCAAGCAATTTTAATAGTTGAAATTTTTTTAAATAGAAACATGTCCTTTTATGTTCAACATACCACCAGGATTACTGCCATCTGGATACAGGTTCCCTGGATTAGAGTAAGGAATCTGCCTGATTCGGAGCGTGAATCCAATTTTGCTATCTTTTTTATTGTCAGTAACAAACTGTACAGTCAGTTCATTCTGTGTAGTTTTGAAGGATCTCAGATTGGGGAAATCTGCGGAGGATCGGATTTTCCCACACAAACCTCCAGGGGGAAATCCAGGGATCAGTCTGGCATTGTCAACACGAGGCCCTGCAAAGGGGCGAAGTTCCACATAAATTTGAAATTGCAAATAAATATTTGTTTGTATACTCAATGTTTGCATTCATAATGAGAAAATTTTCTCAATTATCAAATATCATTACCACATTTTTCTATAAAAATTGTTCAAACTTGTAGTATTGTGGATGCCAATTTGAGTACACAAACATTTTTATTCAGCTTTAATTAGACAGTTTTAAAATCTAAAAGACCAAGGCATATGTATACATTTAGGTCCTGATCTTTTTGTATACAAATTTAGCAACCCCATTGAGCAATGTAGAAAAAATAAAAGATGTCCAGGACAGTTTCTGAAGTCCGAGTTGGATTGAGAAACTGAATATGAGTTATATGTCACCTTTATATATATAAAATAGGGATGTCAACGAATTTTCGAACATTCGAATATTCATTCGATGAGTTGATATTCGAATATGAATTTAAGATTCGAATATTCTGTGTTTTTTCAGATTTCATAAAAAAGAAGTACTGTGATTAATAAATTTTGATTAGAACAGTGCTGGATTTATCCCTGTTTAATTTACTAGCGATCAATTTTGATCGCCTGATTTCTTTCACTACTTTCTTGTCATATATATCTACAAAATTATTTTGTTTTGAGTAAGGTATTAAAGAATTATACAACAATGCTTTATGTATAATAACAAAACGTACTTTCCTAGTTTTTATTAAATAAATACAATCGGATCTAGAATCGAGGACAAAAAATGAAAACCTTCTTAGAATGTCTAAAAGACCTGAATAGTAAACTTATCAAAATAAATTTAATTGATCATTGAATGATTGTCCGATAGAATTAGTCTGTAATTAATATTGTAGTGGGGCTCAATTTCAGAATAAATGTGTAAATTACTTGATTATCTTGGGTTGTACATAATCTTGAATTTTATATTCATTATCGGGAAATTAGTTACATGTAATTACCTAGGAAAATTGTCTATGGTAATATTTGTTTATATTTTAAAAACATTGTAGCAAAGATTATAATCATATCTCTTATTAGGTTGATAATTGTAATTAATTACATGTATTGAAATCTGAACAGTATACAACTATCCTTGGTAAGGCGACTGGTTCCTTGGAGCTACTATAAATACACATGTATCATTTGTTAAAATTATACTTTTCTACATTTAAATCAATCATTTATTTCAAACATTGACAAATATCAAATGGAATTCCTTATTGTACATATACAAAAGTCTTTGTACAATTTTACTTCCAATATAAGAATAACTACGCTAAACCTTTCATGAGAGTAGCATGATGTGTATTTAAAATAAACCAGATTTTTATTTATTTTATCGAATATTTGAATATATTCGAATACTTTCATTGAATATTCGAATATTAATCATTGACAAAATTGACATCCCTAATATAAAACAAACCATTAAAAAGTTTCAGAAAATCTTTGCAGTAGGATGGAATGCCATCTTCATTAACAGGACCATGGTTGGCATCAATGTCAAGAACATCTAAAGCAACTGTTATCTGATGCTCAGGCTTGGCCTTTATGGATACAATACAGTTCCTTGAGTCCTGTAAATAATGAACGATTAAGCTATTACCATGTCAATAGAAGTTATCCACACAAATAACAAATATTAAATTGAAATGATATACTTGTTTATTTTTATCTTAATGGTACACATTTACAGTAACTATTAAAATTAATTTGTTCAATGTTGAAAGATCCAACTGAGAAGTGCATAAAAATTGTTTTCTGTAAACTTAGCTACACTAAAAGTGTTGAATGCAAGGCACAATATATAAATTCAGTTTCCTAGACTCACTACCCTTACTTATGCCTTTGTATGCCTTCTGGGCCCAAAATTGGAAATAAATACATTACTTACTTACTTCCCTTTGAATGGTCAATCAGAGAACCCCCCCCCCCCCCCTACTATTTGCCATCCTTATTTTTTTTTTTTAATTATGTCCAACAACCCACATTTTTCAAGGTGAGTAGGTAGAAAGGTATTCTTTTTAACTATCTTACACATTGATAATTGTCATAAAACGTAGGACTGCTAGACAGATTTAATATCTATTACTATAAAAACTTTCAGTCTAAATGCATCTTAGAGAAATGGTAAACCTTAACTTTAGAAATGGTACAGACAATGTGTATCCCTGCAAACAATAAATTTGAAGTGCTAAAAAAATTCATAAGGGGGGATGACTTTTACAGGCCAATCAGATCATCAGATAAATCATTTTTTATTGTTTACCTTATTTTTCTTTTCTTTACCATATAACAATTGCCAAGGTTAATTTTTGTAATTTACAGGTATTGTTGACATTGTCAGTTTATTGTATGAACTAACCCATCTTAGGCCAAACAGAAAAATTAAATTAATTGTTTTTATACAGAGAACTGTAAAAAATAAACACTGAAAACTTGCAAAGGACAAACGAAAGTGTTTGTAAAATCAGTTTTTCTTTCTAAATTAGCAACAAAGGGACAAACTTTTTGTTTGAAATGAATTCATTTTACTCATTTCTTAAATACTAGCATGAATCTACAGAGAAGTGTAAATACATCATCAATTGTTTAGAGGGGATGTGGCATATCCTGCAAGTTGCCAGTGGAACAGTGGGTAGAGCATTTCTTTCTAAAGTTGTGAAGTACAGGAAGTAAGGAGTTTATCTTAATGTCACAGATTTGAATCTCTCTATGGAACACAAAAATTAGTACTTCTGATGAAAACTATAAACCAAGACCCTGTCACAGTAGGAGCCGGCACAAAAAAAGATATCTCACTGCTCAATTAACAGGTCCAGCACAATCTCTTGATTTAGCTATATAGCTTGAAATAGCTATATAGCTTTATTAAGCTATTCAAAATAGTTTGATAAAGCTATTTATATGCAGTTTTTCACAAAAATGTTTTATGTTAGAAATAGACAAAAAGTCGCATGTATTTGACTATTCATGTATTTACTTTGGGCTATCAAGACAACAAGCAAAATCAAAGATAGTTCTAACATTGCAGCATTTGAATACTTTTTAGCAAAAGATGAATTTCCATTGTTTGGGTAACTGTTCACTACCTTGTGTGCATTGAGGCGTGGATAAGTATGATTACTTCTCATTGTACTGAATTATGACCAATCAATTATCTTGTTGACTGTAATTGGCCTCCTTTATAATTTCATTGAAAAAGTAACTGTATCAATTGCTTTATATAGCCCCAGAAACTTCGAGTACAAAGTCTCTTAAGGTCAAGATCTAGTAAATGATTTTAGACTGCCTTTTTGATGCTAGATCCATTATGATGTCATAATCAAATTAAACTTTCTTTTTCCCGTACTTTACAGCTGTAAATGAATTATGTATTTCATTTCATTTCATTTTATTCAGGTAAAATTATCACAGAATGTCATGATAACACACAATTAAAACATTACAGATTAGCCCACTAATAGAAAAAAAAAAAAAACAGACATTATCTCAGCACTATGCTACTTAATAAAGATCTAATTGAGCATATACATGTATTATTATATAAATTACATGACATACAGATGATAGGTATTACCTAAGGATATCCCATAAAAGCCTTTATAAAAAAGCTTATTTCCAATGGGGTCCTTAAATTACAAATACGTTAGTAACAAAAATATTACATTAATAATGGAATTTAGGCAGGGTACTTAAATGAATATAGCATAATGCTTTGAAAAATGACATGTTTCTCATTACACATTTTCCTTAAAAATTATCACAATAATGCTTATAAAACTAAAATAAAATTAAATAGAAATAAAATTAGACAAGCCTTCACGTAGTATCACTAGCATTTTTAGATAAAAAAGATCTTACAGCTTTCTTAAATTTTTGTTTAGTACTCATCTCCTTGATGAAAATAAAGTACTTTTCTGGAATTCAATTTGAAATCATGTGAAAAGTAATCCCGAAACCTATATTCAATTTAATATTATTTTAAAGAAGAGGCTAAGAACATACAAAATACCATTTTCTGGGAGACTGTAGGCAATCTGGACACATTTAATTTGTCTGATATGGAAAAAACTACCATATTCATGACTGATTTTCTTAATTTTTCATTGAAAATGAAAGTTTAAGATATGATTTTTCGTCTTGTTTACCTACAAATTATGCCCCAAAACACCTTATTTGACCAAGCTATACTTATAAAGCTTCATTAAAGGAATTTATTTCTCAAATTTGAGAAATCTGTAGGCTCCTTTTATTTACTAGATCTTGACCTTAAGGAGACGCAATTTGGTGACTGATTTAAACATACATTATTTTCAGAAGAGTTCAAGGTTGAACATTATCACTGCACCAAGGTGCAACTTTTTGTGCATGCTGAGATAATAACACATTTAAGAAAAAGCTGTGATAAAATAGCTAATTCAAGCTATTCTGAATAGCTTAATAAAGCTATATAGCTAAATCAAGCTATATAGCTAAATCAAGACATTGTGCCAGACCTGATTAACAGCTGATTAATGGCCATACATGTAAGTTCTGATTACAGGTCTAAATTAGCAGCTCTCCATCGGCAATTGATGGTGTCCCAAATTCCCAGTATGAATGAAATATTCTTGAAGTGATATAAAGCAAACAAATACTTATCCTGTATCATACCTGGTAAAAATTATAGGACTGTGACCTAACATCCTCATATCCATCTATGCTGTTTTGAAAGTTGTATTTGGTTCGATAGTACGCTGGATTTCTACAATACTCTTCATAGCAGACAGAACAAAACTCATCTGTTTGTAAAATGATGTCTCCTAAAAAGGCATAAATGATAAATATGATAAAGTCCATGCAAGTGAAGAACCCCTGTCCCCCACATAAAAATAGATCGTTAAAACTAATGATTCCTTTTAAAATATTTTAATCTATTAAATACTCTGGAAAAGAGCAATCTATATGAGTTAAAAATGTAAACTTTAATGAGTCTTACCTGCTATAAATGATATTTTTAAGAACATAAACAAAACAAATTTCTCCATCTTGAAATCATTTCCGGAAATAATTGTTGGACTCGTTCATAAAATGCTTCGAGTACCAGTTCTCGTTCACAGTCATTTTGACGCTTTAATAACAAAGTAAACATGGCCACTGTCGAGTCCATGGTTGTTGAAGAGCAACGAGAGCCGGAAAAGCCGGTTGATAGAGAAAAGGTAACCTTATAAGTGTGTCTTTGTGTTTCTCAGTGTGTTTGTGTGTTTTTCAATATAGCCTGCATTTCTCTTTTTTATAGAAAAAAAGGCAAATGCTCTGCTACTCGTGCAAGAGTTCTGGTCATGTCAACTCGATACAGTTTATTATTCATTAAAGCTACATCTGCAAAACATGAATTGATACGTATACTGCAGTTAAGCTACATTTTTTTTAGCTTCATCAGGTCTGGTACAATCACTAGATTAAGCTACGTAGCTTGAATTACCTACATAGCTTTATTTACCTACCTGAAATAGCTTTATTTAGCTACTAAATCAAACATATTTCTTAAATTAGCATTTATCCCAGAAAGTGCAGAAATTGCACTTTGATGCAGTGATAATTTTCAACTTTGAACTCATCTGAAAACAGTTCATGAAAAAATCACTCTTGGAGATGTGTCTTTCTCTGCACAATTGCAATCAAAGTTCTAAAAGTTTTGGGGCTATATACAACAGTTAATTTGTGACCTAACAGTTACTTCTTGAGTGAAATAACAAAGAAAACCAGTTTTGGTTAACATGAGCACAATGTGAAGTAATCATACTTATCCACGCCTCATCGCACATAAGGCAGTGGACAGTTTCTCAAACAATGAAAATACATATTTTCCTTTAAAGTGTTCAAACTATCTCTGCGTTAGATTGCTTTTTAAATAATACCTACATGTAGAATAAATATCAGTAGACTTTTACTTGTGACTTTTTGTCTTTTTAAAATAAAAAGCAAAATTGTGAAAAGTTGCATTGAAATAGCTAAATAAAGCTACCTGAGGTAGATAAATAAAGCTACAGTAGGTAATTTTAGCTACGTAGCTAAATGTACTGATTGTACTGGACCTGTTCATATAACTACAGTATAGAACAGATATGTGAGTTAAAGTGGTTAGTTAAATAAAACAAGTTGGGGAAATTACCCAGACAGATTACAATATCCCAACTACAGGTAGGTTATCTGGTTTTAATCATCATACAGAAGAATCTAACCCTGTTTGTATAGACTTGTGAAAAATGGGGTAAACTAATGATGGATGAATGGAATATTCTATCGTTAAAAATGATAATGTACTAGGGATCCGATGAGGGCCTGTCCTGAGACACAGTTAGATTTTTCTAACTAATGAATTTGACACCGCTCTTTTCGTGCTTTTATTGTAGGGTAAATTATATTCTGTAGTTTTTCCATGTAGGATTAATTTACGCTATGAGTGCCGATACAAAGAATGAATCCTCATAACACTGCTTTCTCGCCCCTTTTTAAATGCATAATTTTACCTTTTCAAATTAGAACATTGTTATATTATAGCTAAAGTCTTCAAGCATAATCTGTATAGATACTCATAAAAGATTTTTTGGGGAAAGAGACTTTCAATATATACATTATATCGATTAAATAAAATCGCATACTTCACTGTAAAATCCCGGTTTCGCCATTACAGTTATGCAGGTCGTTGTATTATTTAAATGAGAAGGTGGAGCGTCTATCAAGCGTGCGATTAGTATGAATGAATACATTAGCGTGTGTTCGAGGTGTACTAAGTTTTATGATTAACTGACACCTAAAAAGCCTTTTTTTCATGCTAGAGACAGACAAAATGTAAGCATACATTTTTTTAATTTGGCTGGCTTAACTTTGATTTCTTTTCTGCTTAACTTACGAGTCGTATTTGAAATGATTTACTAGAAATTCATTAAATTATTTATACATTGAATACACAATGGACTTTGGAAACAGAACGAAGGATACACTATTTTTCATACTTCAAAGAAACCTTTTTTTTGAAAAAGAGATAATTAATCCATATAAGCTTATTACATAATTTGAAATTTTTTCATACATATGTAGATTTTTGCAAAATCCGAGTGCTACAACAAATACACGTAGGCGGTTGAATTATGATATAAAACTACACTCGGTGTATAAAAAATAGATAGTTAAGAAAGTGAAAATTTAAACGTCAGTATCATCGCTGGTGGGTAAAAAAAACAGTGTCAGTGTACTTTGTACAGTCCAAATTGCATTGTTTCCAAAAAAAAAAAAAAAAAAAAAAAAAAAAAATGTTTATTCATGCCAGACCAGTTAATATGATCTTCCTCATTTAGGAATTCATTAATTGCCGAAATCCACTCCTGTACTTTTTGATTTTAACAAACTTTCTCCCTGTAGTAAGATAAATAATAAATCACTCCGAGGTAATTTTAACGCCCTTTTTCATTCGACCGATTTTTTTTTTACTAATATCGTTGATCGGACATGTGAAAGGGTCATACAAATGCATGTTCTTGCTTTTAAACATTATGCTTTTAAAATACCTGCGAACATGGACTTTTTTAAATGATCTGCAACAAAAAAAAATTGTAAAATTTTGTGCCGATGTAAAAAGTTATAACATTTGCTTCAGAAGAAACCTGAAGCTTCCTTCTATTCAAATTAGGGGTGCTTTTTTGTGCAAATGTATTCAGTGACTTTTCATCCGATACACAGGTTTTTTGAGCGCTCCGTACTTTAATTTCTTTCCATGAAGGTTTCTTCTATTGGAAGTATGCATTTGTGCACTTGTAACTAACAAACTATTTTTCTAAAGGTATGATGAATTGGTGTTTTTCAAATAACGGACTATAAAATTAATGACAGTTTTAACTGAAAAAAAATCTTTCATATCTTCCAAGTCAATGAACGGAGCACTGATGTATATTTAGGAACAAGGGCAAATGTATAATATACATGTATACCCACAGTAATTTAAATTTTAGAATTCTGTATTTATGAGACACAAGCAGTAAGTGCAAGCTACAGGACTTCAATATAAATTGATAGATACCGAAAAAAAATCAAACAAAATCGACTGAAAATCTTAACACATCTTAATCATAAAAAAAAAATTCTCCCAAAATTTTAATTACCCATTTGAAAAATGATTTGACCATCGATGGCTCGCAGACACTAGACACAATGTCGCATAGGTGTGCTCAAAACGCGAAAGTGAATAGATTTGAGTCACGTGTTCAGTGCTTTGTTATTCATGAGGTCAAAGACGGGTTGAAATTTGTAAACAAGGTGTCTTTACTATAGAGACAAGTACCCGTGATTTTGCACCTTTTTTGAAAATAACAAATGAGCGCAAGACTGTTTCAATTTCTTTCATGAATGTAAATGACTAGTATAACGCTTTACATTGACCGTATTTACGACAACTTGAAACATCCATGCGCTCATATACAAAATGGGCTTGCAAAATGGGGGTGTGGCCTAAAGTCTATGAGAAATCGATGTAAACAACATACCCCTGCTATATTAATCACATAAATGCCTAATTACAGCGCAAGGAGGTAAAAATTGAAATTGAAATTAATAAACTACAATGTTTGATGGAAAGATTGAGGCAAAAATATGTAGAAAAATTTTGATTTAATTTTTTGTAATTTATCGGGGGGCCAAATTTGGACATTTAAACGATTCATCCTTTTCCAAAGAAATCAGTCACACTGCACTTAAAGTTCACTGAAGACATAAAACAGTAATCCATGGAATCAAGTTGTATTTTTTCAACCTGTGGTTTGAACTGAAAGTTTGATTCCATGAAATTATGATCCTTTGGAAAAAACACAGTAGTAGTTTGCAGATAATAAGTTATTATATATTAATATGGTGATTAGTTAACTTAGCGAAACTCTTTCATAGTGGAGATAGGAAATGTCCGTAAGCAAGGGACAATGTGCTGTTGAATGCATCGCAAAATCTATCACTTTTTAAGAACACATCATGCACATAAGAAGTGCTGGTGAAATATCTCCAAACATTCCTTGAACCATTGTTAACAGAACTTAAGAGGAGCTAGTCCTCTTGTGTTAAATTATTATTCATTTGATACTTTCTTATATATATTCTTTCTTTTAAGATACTGTAACACATTTATATGATTTTTGGGAGGAAGAATTGACATTAGCCCCTGGTGCAAGGAAAGTCAGACCAAACAAAGTGCCATGTATGGGCAAAAACTAGATTCCTTCTTGATTGAAAATGGTTACTATTTAAATGATGTACGATTTTTAAAAATATATATTGTTAATATTTGAAAGAAAAAAAAATGAAAAAAAAATAAATAAATGTGTGATCTTTTGTGATTTCAGACCTGTCCCCTTCTCCTAAGAGTCTTCAGCAATCTAGGACGACATAATCCAATGAGTGACTACCACAGGGGACAGACCCCAGCTAATGAACTTCAGATCTACACATGGTAAGTCACCAGTGACTTATGATCAAGATGAAACTATAAGGGTTTGATTTTTGATATGTGTCCTGCACTGAAACAATTCAGAATATAAAGTTACAATATGCTGCCTTGATCCTCTTACAACCCCTCTTCCATTGGTTCAGGTGGAGGACAGAGAATTATGTTTGTGCGTTGATAATCAACAATTTTTGAACAGTTATTATTATGCATAGGAGGTGAATCAATATGTTTTTGTTCTAGAAAAAAGGATATAATCAAGATGAAACTATAAGGGTTTGATTTTTGATATGTGTTTTGCACTGTTGACACTGAGTATTCTTCCACTAGTACTAATAAGATTAAAAAGACGACAAAAAAACCTTTCATCATCAAGACCAACATGTTTTATTCTCAGGAACACACATGATGCATCCAAACAAATTTATAATTACATTCCAAAAAATGCATGATGTTTTGTGTTGTAGATTTACTTGATAATTACATGTATACCTATGAACAAACAACTTCTGTAATAGAAGTTGGAATTAATTAAAGTACATATGTAATCATTTCTGTTTAAATATGTCAAGAGATCA